AGGAAGACCACTGGAGGTATGCGAGGCCGGCGGCCAGAGATTAGCAAGCGCTTGAAGATTCATCCTGGAAAAAAAAAAAAACTGGATGTGGCATTCCCCAAACCCCTGACCTCTAATCCTTCAGACATCAGCCTCTGTTGTTTGGTTTGATTTACTGTAGGGGAGAGGTTGTGTGGGCTGAGGAGGATGAGGAGGCTGTGAAGGTAGAGGGGGTCCTAAGGTGACCTTATCACTTACAAGCGTCTGGTGCAGGTAAGCGACAGACTGCGCCCATGTCTGAAAGGTTTTCCACAGAGCAGAATTTGGATACGACATCTCCTCCACTGAAAGATACACCAATAGTGCCGTTAATTTCCCTATTTAGTATATTTTATGTAATTTTATATAATAAAACAACATAAAGCAGGACACAGTTGTAAAGAGGAATGAAAGGATACAGCAGACAAGTCAGAGCGAAGGGAAAACACAAGGAAATGGATGATTGTCACTGGAGTTTGTTTAGTGGGATAAAGGGGACCAAACTTTTCTTAAGATGATTTTTTTTTTTTCCAGACTAAAGTTCTGTATTAGTAACCAGATGGGAGTAGAGTGAAGAACTAGAAATATGTGGGGATAGATGGAGCAAAAGGCAGAATGATTCTGGGAGAAGACATGCTAAAAGCTGCAAAAGAGTCTGAACCAAAGATTCACTCACAGTCAATGCTGTAAAGCCCAGTACGTGTTCAGAATGCTCCAGATCTAAATTCAATTGGGAATTTGGGGAAAAACAAAACAAAAAAAAAAAAAAAAAAAATGGTATAAACAGAGGCTCTTCATCCAATCTTATGGAGCAAGAGATACTTTAGGAAAGAGAATGCAAAGCATGTAGACCATGGGTCCTTGATTCCCTTTAACTACCTCTACAAGGAGCTATGCAAAGATGTGAGCTGTTGAGCATTAGCATAGCCACTTAAATACAGAAAGAACACTTGACAGGCCCAAAGTAACCCAAACGCAAGCAGATACACAATGGAGAGATGTGCAAACACCTGTTCAAATAAACCTGAACACATACCGGGCCTGGTACACAAAGACCCTCCACAACACAAACAAGAACATGTAACTGGAGAGCGACAGCAAACTGAAACTTGAGACAAGTCAATCAGGACAACACAGGCTGGTGTTAATGAGCCTATTTCTAGCCAATACACGTTGATAAGTTGAGAAAGAAAACATTCCATTCAACCAAAGAACCAATATGACACTGAGCTTTTGGAAAGTCCTGCAATTTTGTGAGAAAGAGTAGAATACCAGCGAGCAACCTTTAGCTAAAAATATGTAAAGTTCAGCAGAAGTAATTTGCAACCTTCACAAAGATGGGTGGAACCTGGTAAACATCCTTGAAACAGGTTTCTCATGCTTAGAAAAGGGATCTTGAGGCAAAGTTTTTCAGAGTGTAAGATTCGGTGAAATCTGTTGCCAGCTTAGTATATCATGCCTCTCACACCCTCTATTCTTTTCCCAAACACTAACCAACACACCCGGCCCTCCGCCTCTCTCCACTCCGAGCTTCCATCCAGCCCAGCCAGGGAGAGGAGTGGAGATAGGCCCAGTCGCTAAAGCTGTCTTTTCAGCCCCTGCTCCCGCTCGGTCTATCTGAGATACACAGCAAGCGGAGGTGTCGCTTTTCTGCTGGCATTTCGGACAGTATCTACTTATAGACGAGAGAAAAGGAGAAAAGAAAAACAGAAGGGGTATTATCAGGGAGGGATGAGAGCAGCAAAGGCATTTTGTCTTTTTATTCCCCTCCTAAGCCCTGGGCTTTGCTCCCAATCCGATTGGTCGATACGGCCAAGGATGTAAATGAAATGCAAAGAGGAATAAGGCTGGCTTCCCATCTCCAGTGTGCCCCCCCCCCCCTGCACCCCCCTCTCACTCCCCTCTTTCTTCGTTTCACTCTGTCTTGCACTCTGGTTGTTTACGGTGTTGTGTTTCTGCTTCCCCATTCACAGACATGCAGCCGCCCCTGTTTCCGTCTCACCCTCCTCACTCTGCCATGCCAACCCCCCCCCCCACCACCACCACCACCTCCCTCCACCCTGCCTGCTGCATCCCTGTTCACTCCTTGGCTCGGGCTCACAGCTCTTATCTCTTCAGACGCCCCACATTCCAGCATTGCTGTGGCTCCCTGCCTGCATCCCTGGTCACGGCGATTCCACGGGTTCCCACAATCCTCGGCAGCTTGCTGATTTAGGGTGGGCAACTGACTCTCGGAAACGGGAGAAGGGAGGAACGGACGGGTGAGAGGAGAAGAGGGGCAGGGAAGGTGGACAGGAACAGAGCAAAGCAGAAAATTATAATTTCACACTTTCATTTTCTTCTAGTCTCAAATCTGCTCCTTTTTAAAGACAATAAAGACTACATAAAAAGTGAATCTTTATTCAAATAGTTTCATCTTTGCAGCTTTTTGATGAGTGAAGCTATTCGTGCAACTGCATGTCAAATGTCATCATCCAATCATTGACAGACACTAAACTGACGAGCAAGCAGAAACAGCAGATTTCATCTTGAGAAAACTACTCTGGTACTCGCTGTCCGTCGCTTTCCAGTTGAATCTCCAACAGCTGGAGAAAAAAAATGCAGCAGCGCTGACCAAGAACACAAGTAAACTGAGGAGATGGATCTGTAGATCACATCAGAAGTCAATGATGATTAGAGAGTTTCCACACCGTATTACTGTTTTAAACAAAAATAGATTAACTAAATGCAGTTGGCCTGCACTGTGCCGTAGCTGCTGCCTTGCAGCAAGATGGTTGTGGGTTCTCATCCCATCCAGGAATCTTTTTGTAATTCCCTTTGTTAGTTCCCCTGCCTCCTCCCAGTCAAAAAATATGCAAGTCTTGTTAAATACCACTTGAAATTGCCCTGACGTAAATGAATGAGTGGCTAACTGGCTTCTGCAGCAGTTGGCATGCCGAGGATGTAACGCTATCATATGAATCAATGTGCTCAAGCAGAGATGCATATACAACATGAAGGACAGCAGACTACATTAATGTGTACAAAAGTAAGTCATCAAAACTAGCTGATTGTTAATTTTATTTCTATGAGAAAAAACAGTTTTCAACCATACGTGTACTGCCGCTCCTAATATTCTGCGGTGTCTTCACAGAATATTTCTAAAAGATTTTGTTTTAAAATGTGAAGCCTGTAAATGTTTGTCTTAATTTTTCAATAATAGCAAAACCCCTGCTGTACAGCAACTGCTTTCACGCTATGACGTGACGTCGTCTCTGGTCCCAACATGAACAATTAGTGACTCATGGCAGGAAAGCAAATGTTGTACTTCTTACATTGCAGTTCTTATACAGAGATCAGAGTTGGGTCAAAGTTGTACCAGAAGGTCAAAGCTTTACAAGAACTAGACTTTGAAAACAGACTCGAAATTCAGCACATCTCTAAAAAAAGAGTCTTCAAAAATTGACAAATTTAGTTTGTTTGCAATCCTCTCTCTCTCTCTCTCTCTCTCTCTCTCTCTGTGTGTGTGTGTGTGGGTGTGTGTGTGTGTTGGCTTTAATAAAAGTGGCGAGCAGCCTATCACGCTGTTTATGCATGTCCGTGGAGTTAGCATGAGTGCACCTCTCTAACGATCAAAACATACTGCTTTTCATTGTACCAATCTGTTTATCAAATTTGTTTACGTGCCTCCCTGGCAGCTAAAACAGCTTGAGTGCAGATTTAAGCGTGTGTACACGCAAAAATCAACACACATGCACACAGAAACACACCTCTAAAAGGGTCTTTGGCATTGTGACATTTCATATTTCATTTAAATCCAGAAGGGATTAAAGCCCCCCTGTTAGGTAGGAAAAGAGGAAAAAAAAAAACACTTATTGAATCCATTAGTTTTAAACATTTAAAGGACCATCGAAGACAAACTGATGGAGGGATAGAGAGGGTTGTGTGTACGGCTTGTAATGTGTACTGAACACTGCATGGCATGGCACGGTGTAAGTCTGCCCTAGATTAAACAACCGTTTTAATCCCCCATTTCTGCCCCTTAAATTGGGTTTCCCTCAATCTCGACCTTGGCATCCTAATGTGAGAAAAAGAAAACTAGAGCAGAAGCCGAGGCAATATAATCTGCACGTTAAAAGCTCTGAGAGCAGAACAGCAGAGAGGGGAAAAAAAAAGAAAGACAACAGAATGGGTTCAGGCATTGATTGAGGTCAGAAAGGCTTCTGCAAGTCCAGCTCCTTTCCTCCTTTGGACAGATGATATGTTGTAGGAAATGTGGCTGTGAGTTGTTATGCAAGAATTCTGTTTAAAAAGGCAAGAAATTATCAGGATTTCTCAAGAGTGCATTTCTGACTCAAATGGTAGCATGAAGGAGAAATTTAGCCACTTGATCTGCATCACATTGACTCAGATTTAACACACCTTACGAAAGTCTTGAGGCACCCTGCTCTTCTTTATAATTTGCTTCAAAAGGTTGACTGTTCTTGATCCAGTTTTTTAGAATTTCTGGGGAATTTTGCCACCTATAAACTCCTGTTTAAAACTTATCTGTTCCAGTTTTTAGATACCTATCGATCTGTGTATACGTGTATGAATGTATGTGAAATGTGGTTGCAATATAAATAACTCTCATTCACATTAAACTAACAATGCATGTGACCCTGAACCTTCTATATCTGTGGTGAAACAAGGTAGTGGCAGTGTCATGCTATGGGGATACTTGTTGTCAGAGTAGATGGGGGTAACTGAGCACAAATGCACAACACATTTTAAGATCATTTCTAAGAGATTTTGAAAACCATATTTTATCATTTATCTTCTAATTCACAATTTTGCAACACTTTATCTGATAAAATATCTAGTTTTTGGTTGCAATGTGAAAACTACATGATATATGAATGTTTTTGCAAGGCTTGGGTCAACTTTGAAAATTATGTAAATAACACTAAAGCTTTTTCTTCTTCTTTTTTTTTTGCAAAAGAACAAATTTGAAAAACTCAAAATACAGTCACAAAATTAAACATTTAATGTAAAAATACATGATAATTCCCACAGCAGTGCACTTTCGTCAAGTTTGGAGCAAGCTCTTGGCGTCTCGGCTCCATGAGGGTTTTCCAGGACTCCATCATGGAGTTTGCTTCCGGCTCTGGCGCAGTCTGTCTCTCTCCTTGAGCAGGTGGGAAACGGCTGAGCGTATGGCCGCCGCCTGGGGATCGGTGGGCTCTTTCTCCAGGTAGAGACTAAAGTGTTGAACGCTGCAGGTCAGCAGGTGGTCTGGACTGTAGCCCTGTTGGGCAGAGCGGAGCAGCCTCTCGCATGCCAGAGCCAGGTTCTTGTCCCAGTTTGGAGGGTATTCAGATTGGGCCTCAACAATTTCTTTATACAGCTGCAAACAACAGAGAGGTGTGTGAAACTAATGCAAACACTACGTGTGTTGGTCTTCTGTCTGATGCATGTTTAATAAGCAGGTTCGTACAGTCTTCCACTGTAAAATTCAAGCACTTTCAAGGCAAGTCCTCAAACATTTCCAGCACCACGCTTTGAAGATTAAAATAACACAAATGAACTAAAAGAAAGACTATTATATTTCATTTATTACTGTGACAAATAATGCTTTGTGATGGTATTCTGCAGCAAGAATAAGGTAAATTAAAATTGACCAAAATTTGATGTATACACCTATACACCTGACTGGTTCAAGAACAAAACACAAATTTCAATAATTGACTTTAAGGTATAAAATATAAGTTAACCTTTATTTCAATTACACATATCTATAACTCACTATTAAATATTCAAAAATAAAGGTTTTGTTGTTGTTTGGTAAACAGAAATAATTTTGGTAACTCTAAATAAGCTAAAATAAGAAAACTTTAGTCTGCTCTAACTTCAAACAGTGAGAAAAAAAATATATTTTTATTAGGTGTATGAAAGTATTTGGTTTCAATTGTAAGTAATGTTTTCTAAATTTAGGGTTTTAATAAAACATTAGGCTGCACTTCATTACAAAATGGTCCTAACCTTGAAAGCACCTAGATGAAATTCAAGCATTTTCAAGGATCTCAGGGACCCAGAACAAGGTCAGACTCACAGTGTAAGACAGCTCAAAGAGACGCGCTTTCCCCTCTCCCTGCGTCCTCTCTGCCAGGTCAAACAGAAAGAAAGCCGTCTTCATCCTGAAACAAAGCACGCCAGCTCAGGGCTAAGTGCTGGATGGATGAGTCATGCAGATCCACGCTCTCAAACGCACCACTACGATGGAGTGATTTATGTAGATGCAGCCACCCAACAGAATGTGCATGTAGATGCTCTACCGCACAAGACTGGTTTATGGAGATGTCGTCGGGGCCCAGCATGCATCGTGACGCAGCTTTTTATTTGCACTATACAGAGACGTCCATATATTGTGTGAAATGTTTAAACATACCTCGCTTGCCACATCTCCTCGTTAGCAACGCGCTCCCAGGACGCAGGAGGAAAACTGTTCAAAGTCAAGCAGATGTAGTTTATTTAAAACAGCTTCAGGCAGGAGTTTATGCACAGTTCCTGTAGCGATCAATGATAACGTTGCAGGTTTTAAGAATGCATCAACATGAAATGACTGAGCAACAATACCAGCTAACACATTAGACATGCGGTTAAACCACGTCTTTCTTCGCTTTCCCGAGTGCAGACGCTTGACCTCTTCTTCAAAAGAATATTTTAGCAGTAAGGCCTCTCGGCTAATATTTGGCTTGTGGGCATCTGCGGACACGCTTGTCGTGAGGGCGCGGGAAATAATGTCACAGTATTCAGCCGTGGATATGTGAGTGAAAGAAGGGCTGCTGGCAACAGCAACAGAATATGGAGCTTTGACTAATTCCAGTTTTGACACAGTTATTGACAAAATGCAATAAGAAACTCATTATTTTTCATCTTCAGTCTCATTTCAAATGGCTGAGGGCCTAATGTCTTGCACTGGTTGCATTCACAAAGAGGAGGATCGCAGCATGGAGAGCGCCGAACGAAGTCAATGTGAGGAAACCCTGCATGAGTCTGAGGAAGGGAGACCACAGAGAGAAAAAGTAGCAAGCGGATTTATTTCTAAAGATTTGTCTGTTTTTGTCAGCAGCAGCCCTGCAAAAACTACACTTTGCTAATATTTAAGCTCCTAAGAATTTATGACACAGGTACTGACTGGCTTTTATGGCATAAAAAGGTTTCAAACCTGAAAAAACTTTTCGTTTTACCATTCCTGCCAGAGTTTTCAAACGCATGCCTCGTTTCCACTGAGTGGTACGGCTCAGGTCGGTGCTGATCGGTACATATTTTGTCCGTTTACATTGTAAAACCGACCCGTAATGCAGCATTCCTGGGTCTGTGGGACAATGGTCTGGTACGGTTCGGGTGGAGGCGTTTGGGTTGAACACTGCCTGCCCAGACTCGCTGGCGGTGGAATCGCTCTCCTAAATAAAGAAAGAATCAAGCCACACCGACCCGTGCCGTACCGCTTAGTGGAAACGAGGAATTCAGTGTTACCCCTCCCCCACCTGTTGCTGTGCACTACTGATCAGATGGCTGAAAGAGGGTTTCATTATTTCTACCAAATTCAACATATTACATGGATTCATTATACAGACTGACATATTTTAAGCAGTCATTTCTGTTCATTTATAATATTCCAGCTATGGGAAACCTAAAATTAAATGTCTCAGAAAATAACCAATAAAAGATATTTTAATACAGAAATGTTGGATCATTGAAAACTATACAGCCAATATGTTCAGAATGTGGTTGGAGCTTCTTTTACATGAATTACTGCGTCTGTGCTGAGTGACATGAAGGCAGTCAGCCTGTGGCTCTGCTCAGCTGACCTACGATATTGGGTTTATTTCATAATCCTCTCAAGGAGGCAGAAACCCTTTTCTTAAAGCACACTTTCTCCTTCCACTCAACTTTCCATTAATTGCTTGGATCCTTTCCTTAGCAATGACTTTTAGACACTTAACCCTCCTACTGGAGGGCGGTGGCCAGCAGTATTTCCAATTATGGTGTAAGACGTGCTATGACACTTATGTCATAAAACAAATGTTTTTTATTAGCTTTATATTTATTGAGAAATGTTTACTGAGAATTTGGAGTTTTCAAAAGCTGTAAGCCATCAAATTTTATGGAAATAAATGCTTAAAATATATCACTGTTTGTGTAACGTTTCTATACATGGATTTCACTTTTTTTTAAATTATTTACTGAATAAATAATAAGTAATATTATTTATTGATGATCAAATTTATAGAGACGGAATCAGGCAGGTATTTTTGCTTTAGTCTGAGAATAACAGAGTAACAGAGTAACAAAATTGCTGTAACTAATATTCAACATGTTAAATTAATTTAGCAGCAGTGGAGACAGTTATTGCTTTTTGTTTCAAATAAAAGCAATCAGATCATCCCATCCAAATATGTCTGACTTTTTTGTGTAAATACAGTGAAGCAGTGAAACTGTGGCACCTTTAGAACAAACTCTGTGGTCATAAACATGGTTTCCTGTTTTTAGTGGTCACCTGTTGTGTGGCTCACTCCAGTTATAGAGGCTGCGGGTGCGCTCGGCCCAGCGTTCTGGGTGAAACTGCCTCTGAAGCGGAACCAGGTAGTCACACACACCCAAAGGCCAACGGGAGAAGCTACGTTCCCAGCTGGGATCTCCATCAGTCAGGCCGATGCAGGCAAACACGTCCCTCCTATAATGGTGAGGAGGGTTTGAGGGAAAACAGGTGACTTATGTTGAGAAATAATATACATACAAGCATTTCTTCACATCCCAACACCTTGTGGCCTCACTTTATGCCCGTGCTGCTCACCAACCCTGGGGGTTAATCCCAGAGGTCAGTATTACCCCACAGAGGGAGAATATTGTTGGCCTGGCAAACACTGCCCCCTGGTGGGCTTGGTATTAACCAGGCACAAAGCAGTTTTAGGGTTTTAGATCCTCCTGGGGGAGGAGACGTGAGAACAGGGAGCAGCGTTGAGTCCAGCAGAGATCCTGCAACCAAAGCCAGTTGATTAGTTGACTTTTGTAATTCATCAAACTCTTTTCCAGCCTCAACAGTTCTGTGGGCTTATCTTCTCCCTGCACTCATGGCTGAGTGGACCGTCCCCACTGATCTCTCCCTTGTTAGATCACCCACTTGTTCATTTGGACCATTGTTACCCTCCCACTCCAGTTGCTCAATTTAACATCTCGCTATTTAGCTGTTCATCTCTTCCCTATTCCGTCAGAGACTCACTGTGGGTTGTGGGACAGGAACCGCTCGAGACTGAAGGTGTCCTTTTCTTCGGATTGGACCGGGTCCCACCTTCGGCCAGGAAAATGAACCCCAGGAAGATGCTGCCCCAGCTTGGTCACATACCAAGAATATGTCATCATCTAGCAACAAGAAAGATCAACAAATCTTTGTGAAAACCTTTGAATAAGTAGCAACAACAACAACAACAAAAAAGATTACCAAAGTGTTATTTTTAGAGATGCACCAATCAGAAATTTTGTGGATGATTTCCACTATAAATAAGATCAAAAATACTTGTTCGATACTTTCTGGATAATTAGAAAATTGAATTATCATAACAATAAATGTTAATGTAATGATTTCTCAATCAAAGTTTCCCAACATAGCATGTCTGTCTGTCTCTCTCCATCACTGAAAGTCTGCAAATTCAGAAAAATCCTCCAGGTGACGATTGAAGAGATCTCTCAATATAAATAAAACCAAATTAATAAGGATTTTAGGTATTTTTCAAAACAGAGACAACATGATAAGGGCTTTCTGTTGAGCGGATACTATTAGCAATCCCTGCTTATATTCCTTATATTTAGTGAACCCTTAACTCAACAGAGAGGTTTCCAAAAGGCTGCCAGCATTTCCTAATTCAGCATGATCCACCACAGACACACTTTGGCTCTTTAAAAAGATGAAACAGAGTAGCTTGGCTGAAATATGATTAGCTTCCTGTTTTCAGCTGTAGTAGCCTGAATAACCAATCGACACATCCATTCCTTTAGAGGCTTCTTAGATCTGTTGTGCTTCCTATGACTTCATTTAATCTGCTTTGTTCAATAATTGCAGTGAAAAGCGTTTTTCCTCAGTGCGACCTGGTTGTATGGTGGGTTCACTGATTGGGACAAAGATTGGATATTTATTGACTGACCACCAATTCAAACATCAGAGTTGGTCACTCTATATATATATATATATATATATATATATATATATATATATATATATATATATATATATATATATAT